AGTTAAGCAATCACTTATGAGTTTTTCAAGATTAGTACCTTAGTTCAGAATATTCAAAGAAGCTAAATTTTAAATACATATGCAGTATACACAACCATGCACAAACATGGTTAATAAATGATTAATAATAATAACAAAAATAATGCAGCCAACTTCTGTGATCTAGACGCAATTGGATCCTTGTGTGGATGAGAGACCATTGGCCAAATCCCAATCTACCCTTTGAAGAAAATGGCTAAATCCCATGTGATATGGTTAAAAGATTAGAATAACCTCTATATTTTGCTCTGGTCTTTGAGTGCATGCCCCATATCTCCATCTTGCTCCTGTCCCTCTCTTAGAGTTGAATCACGTGATTTTCCCTCTCAAACTGGGTCCCAGGCTATAGCAATTTGTGCACCCTCCGTGATTTCTCCACCATGCTTAGGACGTGAAGTTCTTCCCACAGGAGCGGTGACCAGTAGTCAGTTGAGTGACTAGCCTGGCCTTCACCATACAAAGTACAATTTATCTACCAATGTAGGAACAAAGTGTAACATAAGAAAAAATATGAGCAATTCCAGATCGATCACAGCAGTAGTTTGGTAGGATAAAAAATTGGGTTTATTACTCAGACTCAGTTTGTCTTTAGGAAACATTGCAATAGCTTTCTCTTCCAAAATGCCTTTCTACCATAGCAAGAAGAATACAGTATTTATTGATTTAAATAAAAAAGATAATACACATAATTATATAAGGATATAGGTGCCCAAACACATCATAAATAAGACAATAAAATCCCATCAGGATTAGAACAATCATTTAAACAGGAACTCAGCTATCCACACACCTACATACACTTTTTTTTTACCTCTTCATCATTGGGGAAAGGAAAACTCCAAATCTCCCAGAAAACCGTACAAAGATATTATGACATTGACACCTTGAGTAGATGACAAAATAAATGGATATCCAATTTTAATAAAACATATTCCACCCTGCAAATTCCCAACCCACTAAACTCACCTGGAACAAAGAAACAAGTCAACCAATAAATCTATAAAATGAAACAACATGAAAAAGAAACAACCAAGCAAACAAACAAGCCAAACCTCCCATACCCCAACCACAATTTTTATTC